GTAGATAGATAGATAAATAGAGATATATAGATAGATAGAAGGATAGACATACAGACAAGCAAAATAAATAGGTAGGAGCTACAAGGTGCGCCGCCAGGAGTAATTTTTAGAATCTTCTAGAAATCAGCATAGGTCGGAATGACCCCACCCCCTTGTATAAATAAATAAATGAATACACCCTGTATAGATGAATACATGAATACACCCTGTAAAAGTAATAACTCATTGTGTTGTGTATAGGCTAGGACAATATATCACACTATCTGACTATCTATCTACCTATCTGATGGATTTTGATGGTTTAGATGATCCACGGCCTGACCAATATTACAAAATCCAAATTTAAAACACGACCCAATATATTCCTTGAACGGACTCAAGATATTCCTTGAACGGACTCAAGATATTTCAAAATGCAAACATAAAACACGACCCAATATATTCCTTGAACGTACTCAAGATAATTCAAAATCCAAATTTAAAACACGACCTAAGATATTCATTGAACGGAGTCAAGATATTACAAAATCCAAATTTAAAACACGACCCAACATATTCCTTGAACGGACGTAAGATATTAAAAAATCCAAACAGAAAATACGACCTAAGATATTCCTTGAACGGACTCAAGATATTACAAAATCCAAATTTAAAACACGACCCAATATATTCTCTGGTCTAGAAAATCCACTTAAATTTACTATTCCAAACTTCAAATTCCCATTGTAAATTTTTGAATATTCTCAAGTCTTGGCGGATTTTATATTAAATTGGCGCATTTTCAAAAAAAGATTTTAGACATTTTATTCGAGCAAAATTGTTTTACTTTGATGGTCCAAACTTAGGGTCATTTAAGTGATTTGCCATACAAAATTTTAGCAGATTGCCTAATGTATGTTTTTTTTTTATACTTTTACAAAATGGCAGCGTTAAGAACAAAAAGGGGCGGGGTTATTTAATGTCCGTCCTTCAGTGGTGAATAAAATTGAATGTAAAGCTATATATGGCAGGGTTCAGTATATAAAAGGGTCGGGTTTAGTTGAAGTCCGTCCTTCAGTGGTGAATAATATTGAATATAGAAATATATATATGGCAGGGTTCAGTATATAAAGGGTCGGGTTTAGTTAATGTCCGTCCTTCAGTGGTGAATAATATTGAATATAGAACTATATATGGCAGGGTTCAGTATATAAAAGGGTCGGGTTTAGTTGAAGTCCGTCCTTCAGTGGTGAATAATATTAAATATTGAGCTATATATGACAGGTTTCAGTATATAAGGGGTCGGGTTTAGCTGATTTCCATCCTTTAGTGGTGAATATTATTGAATATAGAGATATATATGGCAGGGTTCAGTATATAAGGGGTCGGGTTTAGTTGATTTCCACTCTTTAATGGGGAATAATATTGAATATAGAGATATATATGGCAGGGTTCAGTATATAAGGGGTCGGGTTTAGTTGATGTCCATCCTTTAGTGGTGAATAGTATTGTATATAAAGCTAGAACTCTCTTCTTATCATATTCACACTCGGATTCATTCCTGGGATTATTCATCCTTTGGGAATATATTTATCATTTATAATATTTACATTTATATATAAATATACTCGGGGCAGGGACTAGCTACACATCAATATATAATATCTGGAATTATGAGACGCTTTTAGAAGTACATTTATTGCTTCTAGATATCAATAAATGATAAATAACGAGTGTATTGAAGGAGAGGATGGAAGTCTTCTCCTGTTTGTTTTTAATCTTTGTGAAGAAACAATCTCAAGAACTGACGAGGGTCAACCCAGACCGAAATATATTTTCAATAAATGTGGAACTAACATCTACTTTTTTACTCTACAGAGGTTTGGTCCATCGCCATCACCGAATTTTAAGTCTTCTCCTGGTTCCAGGATCCGACACTACTCATTTGCGGATTTCATAAGCCTTGTTCGGGGATTTCTTCCTCTGCACGCTTCGCATATTTTTTGTAATGTCAAATCTCGGCTTTATTGTAGAATTAAAGATAAGTTATTCTTTGGCATTTTATTGAAAAGTGTTTAATTGTGATAATTTTAATTCACAGTTGATCCGAAAAAGCTTAAAGGGTATCGTTGTGAATCGGACTGTTGGGGGTCACTTAACATTATGTTTAGATACGGTCCCTTTAATGAGTTAATTTTCAAAGCTACATCAATTGTTTGCAGTACAATCTCGACATAATCTTATTTTAATCAAAGAAAATGTTCACCTAAATATTTCAAAATAATCCTAAATAGCTTTCTTTTCTCAGACCTTTTTAATACCCCTAAAATCTATGATCCTTGATCTATCGATCTACACTGGTTTTACATTTATGATCACGTATCTATCTATCCACTACTCCATAACTAGATATATGATGATCAAGTATATTTCTGTCCGTACACTAGCCTTTAACTAGATATATGATTATTTATCTATATTTATTTATCCTTAACTAACATCTATTTTTCTACTAATCTTTAACTAGATAAATGATCATGTATCTATATATATTTATCCTTAACTAATATATATTTTTCTACTAATCTTTAACTAGATAAATGATCAAGTATATATCTATCTATCCACTACTCTTTAACTATATGCATGGTCATGTATCTATCTATCCACTACGTCTTAACTAGATGCATGATCAAGTATATATCTATCTGTCCACTACTCTTTAACTAGATGCATGATCATGTATCTATCTATCCACTACTTTTTCACAAGATGCATGATCATGTATCTATCTATCTATTCACTACTCCTTAACTAATATATGATCAAGTATCTATTTATCTACTACTCTTTAACTAGATATATGATCAAGTATATATCTATCTATCCATTAATTTTTAACTACATGCATAATCATGTATAATCAACTAGCCCTTACGTAGATATATGATCAAATATCTATATATCCCTACTCCTTAACTAATATATGATAGATGCATGATCATGTATCTATCTATCCATTACTCCATAACTAGATAAGGAGTATATGATCAAGTTTATATATATATATCAACTACCCTTTTTAACCAGATATATGATCCAGTATCTGTCTATCTAGTATACCTTAACTAGATATATGATCCAGCATCTGTATATCCAGCATACTTTAACTTGATTTATGATCAAGTATCTGTATATACAGTATACTTTAACTAGATATATGATCCAGTATCTGTCTATCTAGTATACTTTAACTAGATATATTATCCAGTATCTGTCTCTCTAGTATACTTTAACTAGATATATGATCCAGTATCTGTCTATCTAGTATACTTTAACTAGATATATGTTCAAGTATCTAACAATCTATCAATCAAGTTTTTATTCCTTTCCTACAGATGTCAAGTTATCTTTATATCTCAAGCTTCCAATATCTTATTAAATCGTAGTTTTAAATTAATCCGTAGAAAAACTATTTGACCTCCTAGCTCCTTAAGTTTAAGCACAAGTTTCTTTTTTTTGACTATATAATTCTGAATGCTTTTATTTTTCGCTGGAATAAGAGAAGCTATGATTGGAATCATATAAGATTTTAATTTTACTTTATTTTGACGTGTTCAAAATAAAGTAAATTTATATTAAATAAAATTTACATTTTTTTCAAAATTCACCCTAGATTATTTGAAATGCACTAATGCATGCAAATTTAACCAGATTCAAGTTTGTCCTTGCTACCTCGGAATAAACTCAATATTTTACATGTAAAGAACTTCAAATAAAGCATATGCCTTTTCTACTTATATATTTGGTTGTTGGTTTGTATGCATGCTTGTTTGTGTCCAAAAAACGTCAAAACGGCTAACGGGCTAATTCTTTTATGGTGAAAACTCATATGTCTCTAGAAAAAATGTATGGCAAGTTCAAAATGAAAATAAAAATTACAAAGAAAAGTTTTGATTAAACTTCTTTTAATTTTTTAATTTTTAATTGTGGCTATCTATTTGTGAGAATAATCTCTGTGTACAATATAAAACAATAACAAAAAAAGTTCGCGGATATAATAAAAAAATTTGCGCATTTTCAAAATTTAACAAAAATAAAAATTTTAAAATCTATGAAAACTACAAGCTCTTGATGATTTTAATATTTTGGACAAAAAGTTTCCCTTTCTGTCCCAATTTCATGCATTTAAAAACTGCACGCAAAAAGGAAATATATACTGTTTTCAATCAAAACTCCTCTCATTTAAGAGTTATCGAGAAGAACAAAAAATGTTTTAAAGTTGTGTAACACGATAAATTTGCTTTTCACTAAAAGTCATACCATGAAAACCGCTTATATTGTACATTCTCCTCTAGTGTCTAGTCTAGAGCATGGCTCTGTATCCTGTGAAAATGATATTAGAGAATGTTTTTATTCGGGGTTTTAAAAAGAAGATAAAAATAAAATTAATATGCGCATACCTAATTTTTTTGAAAAGTTTCTATGAAAATTCATTTTCCTACTTTAATATTGATTTTGTTATTAATTATGTAAACTATCTATTTTCTTCTTAATCTATTGACCGGCATATCTAAATAATAATAATAATAATAATAATAATATTAACAATATGTATTTAAAATTAGGTTTAGTGTTACACTAAAGTAAATATATTACATTATATAGATTAAGGCCTTTGAATATAATTACAACTTTTAATGATTTTATAAAAAACATGAATTAATTAAAATTTATATTTTAATACTCGATTTCGGTTATTATGTGCAAGTGCAATTGAAACACGTGAAAGTAGTTCTCAGTTAGGTTTAATTCCAATTTCGTTAGACTGTCTCCATTATAAACGCGTCGTCCATAATTTCTTGTCGATTTCTTTCTCTATATTTTACACTGTACCCGAACAATACGAAGGCAATGGCAGATTATAGCGGTAGTAATCTGTCTGTGGTTAGGCTCATTTCTCTTCCTTTATTCTCATTGGTGCAGAAATCCGTTCTGTCTTCTCATTGGTTGAAAGGCGGCGGCCCTGGGCCCGGCACGGGACGGGGAAAGATAACCGCAAAATGCGGTGCTGATAACCGCACGCATAGGCGAGATAACGAGACTAACAGTTGAGATAGGGACGGATAGAACGAGATTACTCTAGATCTTGGAGCTGATCAGCTGATCACAAGAATATTTCGTGGATTTCAGACCACGATCTAAACATTATCCTAGTTTTCATCGATACTCAAATCAAAGAATACGATCAAGTGAAATAGAAATCAGATTTTAACAGGTAAAGTATATGCAAGCAGACAATTTGCTTTAAGTGATATGGATATAAAACAACAAGCATTCTTCACCTTAAATAGCATCAACTCTTATTTTTTAAATAATTAAATTTTAATGTCACGTTCAATTGTAATTTTATAATTTTCTATTATTTATTTTATGAAACATTTAAGCACGAAGAATAAAATGTTTCAAACAATAAAATTTAAAACTAAATTGAAGTTCGTCGACATACATTGTATGATTGTTGAAAACTTTATGAAAAATGCTATGTATTACGCATGGTTTAAGCAAATTTTTTAACACTTTTAACAGGTTTAAATTCAAATCTGAAATGGTTTATTCAATTTTTTTTCGGTTTTGGTTATTGCTTAATCAATTTTCTGATAATGATTTGAAAACAATAATTATTTTTTTTCTCCCCTTCAATAATCATACGAAATCACAAACTGTAAAGTGTAACTGTAAAGTGAACAAAATTATATCAATTCAAAATAATTTGATCTTCAATTTCTAAATCCTAATTTGACTTTTTAAATAAAGTTGTTAACCCTATTCCCGCTGGGGGGGGTCAATTTGACCCCCCCCCTGTAGTTTTTTTTACATAACTCAAAAAGTATTGGTCTGAGGCTGTTGAAATTTTCTGACTTTTCTTACATACCCAAAGCCCTCCCTTTAGGCCTAAAACCGGGCTTTAATACTAACTGCCTGAGTCCTCAGGCACACTGCCTGAATGACTGCTTTTGCCTGTAGCAAACTAAATCTTTGTTTTGACCCACTTTCACTTGTCAGATTTTGATAAAATTTAGCTTTTTGGAAAGCCTATGCCATAAGGAAACGGATTGCACATGTTTTGCGAAAAAAAAATTGCAAATTTTTTGCAAACAACCTGTCAAAGGGAATTTGCACATTTTTAGTTTTTCTTGATTAAAAATCAGGTTATTTAAAATTTTGCAAAAATTTTTGCATATTTGAAATGGCATGGTCAAGGGCTTTTCAAAAATGTATAATTTGTCATTTTTTGGACAAATTTTTTTTGCAAACATTTTTACTATAAAACTGGATTTTGCGATAAAAAATTCAATTTTCGCAAATTTGCTAATTTTTTTGCAGATTCTAAAAGTAGAGCACAAGAGCTTTCTAATGATGTATCATTTGTCATATTTGGACATAAAACATGGGATTTAGAGGGGGGGGTCAAATTGACCCCCCCCCAGCGTATCCTGGTTTTCAAGTACCCCAGCGGGGATAGGGTTAACAAAGCAAAAGTCCAAGAAACACTTGTAAAATAATCTGTTAAGAAATTAATGCAAATTTTTGTTAAAAAATCTTTAAATCATTTGGCAAACGTGAAATTTTTTCTAATGGTTAGTCAAGTTATGTAAAGCATGGTTTTCTTTCACGTGCTCCAAAATACTTTTTAAATCTTCTGATAAATTTTGTAATTTAAAATTTCGTTTAATTTACTTTTGATATATTTTTGATATAAGAGATTTCTTATTTAGGTAAAGAATATTATAACTATAGCAGTTTAACTTTCGTATAAGAATCTTTTCATAGTTTCAAAATATTTCTTTTAGGGATTCATAGAAATTGAGTTTTTAAGTCCTTCCGTCGTCTCCCATGGTTGTGATGGAGGGTGGGCGTGGTTTGATGGAGAGTGGGCGTGGTTGGTATGAAGGGCAGGAACTGCAGGGTTTAAACCACGCCTCCTCCTCCCCCCACCCTGGACTAAACCAACAGACAGATAGTCCACACACACATCAACATTTACAGGTAAACAGGGAAGAAAGAAAATGTTCACGAAAGGAATTGAGTCTTTGTCACAAATTCAAATTTTCTAATCCTCATATCTCGGCAACCTGTTGGTGTAAATCTTTGAAATTTCAAACTGTGAATATTTGATCTAACAATGTTCATTGTTTGAAATATCTTAGGTCTGAGTTTGTGGGAAAGACTCTACTCCTTCCAGATGGTCTTGTTTAATAATATGTTCTTAATGATTAACAGCCCACGTTAAACTAAAGTAAATTCCACGTAAGATTGAAATCTTATAAATTTTCAATCATAACTTCGATTATAAAAGATCTATTGAGAAGAACAAAAATGTTTGAATAAAATAAAGGAATTAAGTTTTTGCCACAACCTCTGATTTGTTAATCCCAATATCTTTGCAACCCAATGTCGTAGACCTTAGATATTTCAAAATATGAATTCTGTCATATCAAATAATCTAAGTCAATGTTCCTCTTTATGATGCTAACATCAATATTTTCTAATATAAAAAACTCGCTCCCATGCATGTTTATGTGAATACAGATATTCCTATAAACGATAACACACACTGGGTATGTCTTGTTGCAATGTCAAATCGCGTACAAGTATGCTATCTTTTTATATATCATGTAGTTTTTTCTCTTAAACTGCTGTTTCGTCAATATTTGAATAGATAATGATGTTTTTTAATTTCACAAAATCTAACTATAAAAAAGAGACATTTCTATAAATTCCATAGTCCAAAATTCTCAAAAAAGTTTTTCTATCTTCAAAGAATATGAATGTAACATTAATTTTGGAAATAAAAAATGAAAAAAAGTATCCGTAAACTAAAGGATTTTTCTTAACTGATATACAAATGTATGAACATGCCACTATCGTAAAATAGTTTTTTGTAAAATCAATATAAACAATTTTGTATCTTTAATATAATCTCGATACGGGAGATACGGAGATAATAAACATCTAGATCTAAAAAAAATAATCTAAGTTTAAAATATTAAAGGTTTGCACCATCAGGTTGCATAGATGGTGGAATTATAACATATGAATTTGTGACAAAGTAAATTTGCTTTTCCTCATACTTGGGGGTAAAATCCCATCTAGAGGAATTACGAGGTCACATAAACTTTACCTTCTCCTTCATGTCCAGTTTGCAGTGAAAGAGATCAAAGAAATTTCAGATTTACTTAATTCACTAAATGCTCTCCCTCCCTGACGCTGTTTATAGCGAAAATTATAGAAACCAGGCCCACCAGAATAATTTTCCCTAATAAGGATTTGTAATTTTTTTGTGATTTTTATCTTGTCTAAACTATAAATCTTCATGTAATAGATATCTGATTTGATTTGATATTAACAAAACTTAATTTTTAAACTATGAAACTATGAATTTGTGGCCACAGTTTTTGTAAAAAAATGGCAATTTCATTTTTCGGTCGGTAATTACAATATTTTTTTGTATTTATGATTGAGTAATCTTGTTAAACTTCTCATATTCATATTGAGAAGTTTTGTTTTAAATATCAAATATATTTATATTTCAATAATTGAGAAAGGATTCAAATTATTCTCTTTATTTATCATAAAATCCTGCAAAGTTCAGATAAAATCACAATAATGTTAAAACAAACTTTGATTTAAAATGAACCACGGCATCAAACTGTAAAGGGATACCTTCCTTTTAAGCTGTATCTGATCGAGTAAAGATTAGATATCAATGTTTCTAATTATGAAAATTGATTATTTTAAATGAGATTCCTCTAGTAAAGTGACTTTCGCATTTTACTGCAGCAAAGACATTATCAGAATTAAACACTTTAAAACCTAGAAAATGAGAATATTTCCCGCATTTCTGATCAAAAAAAAGATTTCAAAGTACCAATTGTGAATCGGTCATATCCATATTTTCATGGAGTTACGCCTCACCTCCATTTAAAAGGAATTTTCATTTAGGTTGAAGAGTATAGGCCAATTAAATCATTGAATCACATGATACGGTCAATTTCTATTTGGCACTGAATTTATTTAAAGATGTATAAAAGTAAAAAACAATTTTAATGGTTTTGTTGTTGAATTTTATAACATTCGACGATTTTTCTTCACGAAGTTTTCTTGGATTACGCTTTGGAATTCGAAATTTTCTCGCTTCGACATTATTTTGATTTCGATTTTGTTTACCCAACCCACGCTGTAAACAAAATATATAAAAATCAATATCAGACGATGATTATTTATTATTACATTTGTCACTCTTCGAAATTCGTAAAAGCTCAATTAAAAAGTTTTAATGAAACTTGTTAATTAACAGAATTTAGATAAATAATATTTTTTTGTTGCAATTTTTCTTATCTTTTTTTGGCATTTTTCGTTTTTTTCTTATTTTTTTTCTTCATATTTTTATGTCGTTCAGGAGCCAGATACAGATGGGTACTTCAAGGAGAGGGCGGATACAGATCCATACTTCAAGTCGAATACGGCGGCTAGCCAATACTTTAGCCAGGCAGCTGCCTTGCAATCAGCTTACGGAAATATGTCACAAGGTCAGTTCTACTTTCGGAAATTTGTCACAATAATATGTTCGCATACGGATAAATGTCATAATGTTTTTTTCCGCTTACGGAAATTTATAATAAGAATATTTCCGTTTAGGGAACTATGTCACCCTGGACTAACCAGAGTGAGCAGCATTCGGTTTCTTCTATTTGAAATCAAACGTGTTTTGTTCTATAATTCAACAATCTTTTAACTTACGGATTTGTTTATTCTATGCTTTTTCATTTAAAATGTATATTCCGACAAAAAAGTATTTAAGAAAAAAGACTAAAAAATATGTTTAATGGGTCAAATTGTGATCGAAAGTCACAGCTTTCTGGAGTATTGACAGAACCGTTAAATCCACGTGATGTCATATGGTTAGTTCCCCTTACGGAATGCGTGTGTAGCAAAGTTAATTCCGCATACAGAAATTTGACACTAAATTAGTTCCAAGTAGATAAGTTCCGTTTTCAGAAATATGTCATAAGATAAGTCTAACTTACAGAAATGAGTAACCAATTCTACAGAAATACGCCAATTTGACAGTTTCTTGCCATTTCTTTCAACCATGTTTTGTAATAGCCCTGATTATGAAGATTTTAAATTGTTAAATCACGAGTAATTCTAGTGCCGTCATTTAGTTAAATATCTATTTAAACATTTCAACGCAAATGCGGTTTTAAAATTCTAGCTTGTATTAAGATATTATTTGAATTTTGACGTGAACAGAATTATTTTAAAATATTTTATTTAAATGCATGAACGAGCGATGAAGTTAATAAAGCCTGAAAATTGATCTACAATAAACCTCTCTGAAGGTTATCAATATATCTTACTCTTGTAGCTCTGTGTTTTGTACTTGATTTAAAACCTTCAGATCAGAACAGACAACAAACACATAACTGAACCCTGATTGGATCAGGCGCTAACATGAGTATGTCTGATTCAATACTGTACCTTTTAACTTCCATCATAGTAACTTATAAGAGAAACCACAATTAAACAAATCTATTTTAGGATTTAAAAAAAAGAATATATTGTATATTGTATATCAGACATGTCATTATTCTATTTATAGATGAACACCTAAAAGATTGTGTTCACAGTCCCTTTATTCTGAGTTGTTTGTGAACTAGAAAAATGACAAACTGTAGATAGATAGATAGATAGATAGATAGATAGATAGATAGATAGATAGATAGATAGATAGATAGATAGATAGATAGATAGATAGATAGATATTGAAAATGGAAGCTAAATCATTCAAACGTGAGAATATTATTAATTTTACTGATAGTATTATTATCATATTACCGGCCTTTTAGAGAGATTCGCGCCCTCTTTCTTATATCAATTTAAACTTTTAGTTGTTTTGCTCTTTTTTCATTATTTTCCAAAATTGTAGAATGTTCGCAAATTTTTGATGAACATGGTGCATTTTTAAAAATTGGGAATGTCAGTATCCAGCAGGTCCCTTTTATACTTGATTTATTGGGAAGGTCAGATATCCAGCAGGTTCCTTTAATACTTTATTTTTTGGGAATGTCAGATATCCAGTAGGTTCCTTTAATACTTGATATAAAAGGAAGGTCGGGTGAAGAAGGTCAGATATCCAGTAGGTTCCTTTAATACTTGATATATCAGGAAGGTCGAGTGGAGAAGGTCAGGTATCTAGTAGGACCTTTAATACTTGATATATCAGGAAGGTCGGGTAGAGAAGGTCAGATATCTAGTAGGTTCCTTTAATAGTTGATATATCAGGAAGGTCGGGTGGAGAAGGTCAGATATCTAGTAGATCACAGTTCTACTCTCCTCTTCATTCAATGGCTTGGGGAGCTTTCTCCAGCAGCTCCTCAGCAACATCAGCAGCTTCTAAACCTTATTCTTCATTTGGATATCCTCCTACTCCACCTAAGGTAACACCACCCCCCACCCATCCATATTATATAAAGGGTTACCCACAAAGAATGAGAGTTCAGAGACGACCGTAAAGAATTTAAACTGTCTGTTTCCTGACATTTATTATTCCCTTTCTTTTTTCAAAATTATTAAATAAAACCACATTTAAGGCAGAAGAATTAATTTAAACTTGAGATATTCGTATTTCAATAGTTTCAAGTCGTCTTTACAGTCTCATCATTTGTGTGTTACCTTTATATATTGAGACCTATACAACTTCATTACTCAAGTTTGCATTAAACTTGAAACAAAGTCTATGTGAAGCGTATACTGTACACGGATCTGTTTTACTGAATTAGTTTATTTTTAAAATTTTTTTTTTTTACTCTGAAACTTTTTTATAACCTTGGCAGTTATTCTTTTTAACAGATTTAAATGAGCTGAGATAATTTTGAAGGATTTTGCGCTGAAATTGAAGGTTTGATGGGTTCCAGAGGAAAATAGACACAATTCTAATTTTAAAAATGTGAATACGTTCAGCAACACCCCTCCCCCTCCCCCCCGTCCAACTCTCCAATCAGATGAACATGGACAATTTCATTTTTGTATTTATCATACACAAATTGGCAGAAACTGCGTGGTCCAATCTAACCGCCAAAGAAGTTAAATTGTGCAGGAAAGGGGAAAGTATGAAAAATTGCATATTTTTAGAGAGGTTTTAAATGCTAATTGTTATTTTTCCTTTCTACCGAGTAGTGCTGTGTTGTGGATATAATCCCGTTTTCAAATTAATTGAGATTTCGTTTTTTAGATTCAATAGTCATCGTTGTTTTCATTTCCTTTATTATTTTAAATCTGACTACTTCTATTACTTAAAAAACGGGGTCATAAACAATTGCAGATCGACGTAAATATCGAATTTCGATCTTTTAGAAAAAAAATCTTGTTTTTTTTAAAGGAATCTCCAGTGTTATCCTCTACACCTACCTCTCTACCTTTAGATACTACTTTATATAAACCTGCAGAGGATCAGGTAAAACTTCAGGCCACTTTGTGCCACTTTATTCTGCATTTCAAAAACTGAAGCTTAAAACAAGTGCTTCATAGTTCAGTTTCGTTTAGCTGTTAAACCAACTAGTCCTAATATTTCTCGTTCCTTCATAAATTTTTATCTCATGATTTAACCAAAATTGTATATAAAGGAATTGAGCCTTTGTTTCAACCTCTGAGTCCGAATTAAGATAATTTGAGCCGCGTCTCAAATCCTCCAAAAACCGGTTTCAATTGAACACCGACTGAAATCATGAAACATGAATACAATTTTATGGGGAACCAACCATATTTAAGCCGTGTCTCAAGTTAAAGCCACGGCTCAAATTCTTTAAATTCGGCCTTGATTAACCAATCCCTATACCTCTTTAATACAATGTTGTAGACCTAAGATATTTTAAAGTATGAATCATATCAGAGCAAAAGATTTCAGTTTGGAACAACCAAGTTTTACACCATCAGGTTAAACAGACAAAGGGATTTAACTTGTTATTTGTATGTAGTTGGTGGATGGTGGAGATGACGCCCATGGCCAACTTGATTTAAAACCAAGTACAGAACATCTAATGCAGATGGGACTAGGATATAATAGGAAAATGCATGACGGTAAAAATTTAATAATTTTGATTTTAATTTTTTCAAATTTTGGCTTTTATTTTCTTTATTTCATTTTTGTTATCTTATATTTATAACGCTATTTGAAGACACAAGTTAGCATTATTTCTGTATATTTACACTTATATTTTACCAGCTTGGAAACCCAGCTTTAACTGGAAAATAAACTTTCCATATAAACTCTGACCTCAATTTTAGATCTTTAAACCTAGTTTCCCAATCAAAATTTGAGGCAAATCGGTCCAGGGGTTCCGAAGTTATGATCGGATATACTAATAAACAATCAGAATTTAATACTTTATATATAGATATATAGAAATTTAGAAAAAGAAAAACTAAATCTATATATAAATTTGGCTTGTCTGTCTGTCTGTCTGTTTGTTTGTATCTAATAAACGTCAAAACGGCTGAAACGATCTGGCCCTAAAAGCCTAAAAAAAAGGCGCCTTAAATTTCTAGTATTAGTATATTTTTGACAAACATAGAGAAATGTTTGAAAAGTATATACAATAAATATAAAACATCTTGGAGTGTGTACTTTTAGATGCTGTAAGGTATCTAGGGACATATTCGATTCACAATGTATTTTGTATAATTGATCTAGGAATATTTGGAACTCGTATTGTTTTCCATTTTATTTAATTTTGTATAATTGATCTATGAATATTTGGAACTCGTATTGTTCACCATTTTATTTAATTTTGTATAATTGATCTATGAATATCTGGAACTCATATTGTTTTCCATTTTATTTAATTTTGTATAATTGATCTATGAATATTTGGAACTCGTATTGTTCACCATTTTATTTAATTTTGTATAATTGATCTATGAATATCTGGAACTCATATTGTTTTCCATTTTATTTAATTTTGTATAATTGATCTAGGAATATTTGAAACTCGTATTGTTTTCCATTTTATTTAATTTTGTATAATTAATTTAGGAATATCTGGAACTCATATTGTTTTCCATTTTATTTAATTTTGTATAATTGATCTAGGAATATCTGGAACTCATATTGTTTTCCATTTTATTTAATTTTGTATAATTGATCTAGGAATATTTGAAACTCGTATTGTTTTCCATTTTATTTAATTTTGTATAATTAATCTAGGAATATCTGGAACTCATATTGTTTTCCATTTTATTTAATTTTGTATAATTGATCTAGGAATATCTGGAACTCATATTGTTTTCCATATTGTTTAATTTTGTATAATTGATCTAGGAATATCTGGAACTCATATTGTTTTCCATTTTATTTAATTTTGTATAATTGATCTAGGAATATCTGGAACTCATATTGTTTTCCATTTTATTTAATTTTTATAAATATTATCAAGGTCCGTCCTCCTACCCTGGTCCACCTGAGTCTCCGGCAAGCTCAGGAATTTTACACTTTTAGTTTTTTAAAATAATTTTTAGAATTTTTTTTCGCCATTTTTTTTGCTTTACTTAAGTTCTTAGTTTTTTTTTAAACTTTTCTATTTTGTTTTCTTAAGTTTCAATTTGTCTCTTTTTGTTAAGCTGAAAGATCTTTTTTACTTTTTCACGCATTTTTTAATGTTTATAATAATTTTGATTTTTACTAAGATTTTTCTTAAAACTGTTTAACAAGTGTTTAAGTTTAGGTTACTATGGTTACAATGGATCAGTATACTCGAATTATAGTTCTTCATTATTCCAATCAAAGTACACTGACTCCTCAAAATCTAAAAATAAACCTATTGCTGGTAAGATGCAGTGCCTGAAAGGAACTGAAAGCGTCATTTTCAGTAATAACCCTGTATGCAAAGATGGCAATGTCCTATTTTCAACGGTACCCCTGAAAACTTTATCTGATCAATATTGTGGAAGACATTGTTGTTTTTCTAGGGTTAGATGTATTTAATTCTCATAATTCCTATAATCACATAGATAAAGATAGATTGCGCGTAAAACGACATTTTTCATCTTGAAAGATATAAATGTACAGAGATGTTTTAAATATATTCCTTTTATATAGATTAACTAGGTCGGTTGTGAACATTGGCTGTTCTTATGTCTTTGAGTACTTGCAGTGTACATGAGTTCTGTAGAGATAAATTTAAGTTAGTTTAGTCCTTATTTCCTTCTTCAGTTCTCGTCAATGTGATATCTTGCTCAGTGAAATAATTTAATATTCTCAAAATGAAATTTACTCCTGAGTGGTTTAATAATTGTACAATTCTTGGTGATTTTGCGTACATAAGCTATCTATGTTTATTTATTTATCTATGGTTTTTAAGATTATGAATATTGATACTTATTTATACTTGATCAGACAAAGCTTTAAGGACACCCACTATAGTTTCAGTATAAGTAAATATTTCCATTTACTGATAGAAGGATTCATAACTCTGATTGGATAATGAGATAGATAGAAAGATAGATGTTACCGCTATACTATTCCTATTGGTTCAGAATAGACAACAAACACATGACTGAACCCTGATTGGATCAGGCGCTAATGGAGTTCGCATGCAGGAGTGCACCCGGCACCGTTGTCAATCGGGCATTGACCATATTTGCATTAAGGGTCACTTGAACTTACGATTACATTACAGTCCCTTTAACGAAAGAAATTTTCCTCAAAGCCAAATAATTTATAATTAATTTAAAGATCGTTGATGAAGGTTTTTTAAATTTTGAGGTCTGCGTCCAACTCTCTTTTTAAGATCAAGAAACACTTTTTACATTTTTCAGAGGGTAGAGAGTGTGTGAACTGTGGTGCAACATCTACTCCGTTATGGAGACGGGATGGAAATGGTCACTATCTTTGCAATGCCTGCGGTCTTTATTACAAAATGAATGGACAGAACAGACCTCTTATCAAGCCCAAAAGAAGATTGGTATGTAGATTATTAATCAAATGCTAATAAGAATGAATGAGTAGAGTTAGGTCTGGAAAAAGGAATTCAGTCTTTGTTACAAATTCTGATTTCTAATACCTATATTTTTTCCACCTGATGGTGTAAATCTTAGATATTTTAAACTTAGATTCTTTCATCTAACAGAATTCATAGTTTGAAATGACTAATGTGTAAGGCATTGGGTTGCAAAGATATAGAGATTAGAAAATCATAGTTTGTTACAAATTTTCAACTCTTTTAGTTTTTATCAAAAAAGGGTCTTTTATAGTTTATAGTACACTATCTTTGGAACCCCGCTCTTCTCAAGTTCAACCTTTAAAAGTCAACTTACTTAACTGAAATTGTTAGACCAAACTTAGAACATTCCCGTGGTTTTACCGAGTTCCACAATCAAAGTTTTAAGCAAATTGGTCAAGGAGCTCATGAGTTATAAAAATATACACACAAACCAGCAAACAAAGATTTCTACTTTATATTTACACTAGCTAAGGAACCCGAGCTTTGCCTAAAAACCAGATTTTTTATAATGCTATAAAGGAATATGTGTATACTACTTATGCCAATTTATTCTTAAGTACTAATACAAATGTATTTTAAAGTACATGTATGTGTATGTGTTTGTATACTACTAATACAAATGTATTTTAAAGTTCATGCATGTGTTTTTATGCTACTAATACAAATGTATTTTAAAGTACATGTAGATGTTTGTATACTACTAATACAAATGTATTTTAAAGTACATGCATGTGTTTGTTTGCTACTAATACAAATGTATTTTAAAATTAATGGTTGTATTTTGTATTTAATGGTTTATATATTGAATTGAATTGCTAAATGTATATGCTGCAGTTAAAGAAGTTTTTTAATCAGATAAATCAGCTTGTTATAGTTAGAGGGGGGACACTGGTCAAAACCATGGGGGGGCCCCCCCCCCCCCCCTCAGTCCTTTAAACATACATCATCTATTATTCTGTAAAATATATACTACCATTCGTTTTTAACTTTCTTAGTTTTTATATTCATAAATCATATATAATTGGTTTTTTAAATAACTTTATTTTTTTGAAATTTTCAGCAAAAAATCATATGTTTATCACGAAAGAAACTGATTATTTGACTCAAAATCGAATTATCTAATCCCTATATCTTTGTAATCAGATATCATGCATAGACCTAGAATTATAGAACGACAATAGTCGAAAGTTTTATGAATGTTTACACCATCAAATTGCAAAAATTAAGATTGAAAAATTAAAGTTTTAGGCTCCGTTGTAATTCAATCTTCAGTCAAAAGTTAAAGTTTTTTTCTAAGATATGAATTGGTTTTCTAAAAATCAAATTTACTTTTTTTCATCAATTTAATAAAAGAAACTGAGTCTTTGCCACAAAATCAAACTTTCTTCTCCCTATATCTTTGCAACCTGCTGGTGTGATTTGATATTTCAAACATAGATCATTTGATTTAACAGGATTCATATCTAAGGTCTACGACATTCGGTTGCAAATATGAAGGGATAAGACAATCGGAGTTTGTGTCAAAGACACAATTCCTGTTTGCTGTAATATGTTTTAAACTTGTATATTTATTTATGTTTTAAACTTGTATATTTATTTATGTTTTAAACTTGTTTATTTATTCATGTTTTAAACTTGTATATTTATTTATGTTTTAAACATGTATATTTATTCTATGTTTTAAACTTGTATATTTATTTATGTTTTATATTTATTTATGTTTTAAACTTGTATATTTATTTATGTTTTAAACTTGTATATTTATTTATTTATTTATTTATGAGACAAATTAACGAAAAAATCAAACTTTCAATATTTCTATATTCATTTATGTTTTTTTACAAGGTATTATTTTAATTTTATAATCATTAATGTAAACGATCAAAATAATGCATTATGTGTTACATCTGTACTTTTAAAGTTTATAAATTATTATTAAATACAAAATATATTCATAAGAATGCAGTAATATTCAGATTAAAACAGTTTAACAACAAAAATCAATGTCAGCGTAATCTTGTTAAAAAATGGTTTATACAACTTTTTTGTTTCTAATTTTCTAAATTATTGGTGCCACTTTGCGACATCGCAGCTCCTCTAGTTCCCATTTTACGCCAAAATACAAGAAAAACAAAGGAGTTGAGTCTTTGCAACAAACTTGAATTTTCTAATCCTATATCTGTTCATCCTGATGACGAAAAACTTAGACATTTCAACTTACCTTGATCTAACTACAGAATCTATAGTTTGAAATATATAAGGTCAACGGCATTGGATGGCAAAGATATTATGATTAGAACATCAGAGTTTGTGGAAAAAACTCAATTCCTTTCAACTGTTAAAGATTTTAAAGGAATTGAGTCTTTGCCACAAGCTCTGAATTTATATGCCTTATATCTTTGTAACCCAATGTCGTAAATCTTTGATATTTCAAACTTATATTATTTGATATAACAGAATTCATAGTTTGAAATATCTAAGGTCTACGACATTGGAATCCAAATATATAGGGTTTAGAAAAGCAGAGTTTGTGGCAAAGATTCATTTCGTTTAAGACAATTTTTTGTGTTTTCTTTTTTTTAGTTAAACAAATTTTGTTTTAGTCATCAGCAAGACGGGAGGGCACAAGTTGTGCAAACTGTAAAACAACGACAACAACTTTATGGAGAAGGAATCAGAACGGTGAACCTGTCTGTAATGCCTGTGGTCTATACTTCAAACTACATAATGTAAGTTAAAAGTATTGTGACAACTTAAAAGTTCTTAAATTTAACGGCTAAATGGTTGAGTTTGGTCATTTGCCTTTAATAAGATGTATTTGAAGATTATACAAAGCCATAAACACGCACACAGCTGCAAAAATTAATTGCATATACATTGTTTATTTACAATTTGAACGTTTTTTATCNCCCCGGCCCCCACACAGTTTCTTCAAAACGTAGGGTTTTTAACACTTATTCTCTTGATTTAAAAAATTCACCACTATTGATGTACACATTTCACGGAAATATTTCAAAGAAAGTCAGAGCGACATAGTTTAAATTGCTGCTTGTATGGTCTCACTGTGATTTAAAGATCTCACGCTCTTCAGCAAAAATCTATTAAAATTTTGCCAATTACTTCTTAAAAACCAAAGCTTACAACAATTGTTTTATATTGCTATAGTGTAACATGTAAAAGACTACAGGAAAGCATAAGTGAGTTAGAGCGGTAAAATCTAAGCCCAAGGCGTTGCGACACTTCAAAGTCGACCCTGTCTTAAAAATCTGTTAGGCTACTAACAAGCAGGTTGAATCTATACTGTATAAAACATGGCTTATATGGCTTGATGCCATTTTAGTGCTTGAATCTGGTGTTTAAGATACTGACACTGTAGAGGTGCTTGATAAGATTCAATCAAGGCATATAGGCAGTATGACATGTGCGGTATGCAAGCCTTAGATAGGCCTAGCGCCGAAAACGTCAAAATTATCAAAAAAACTTATTTACTATACCTGACGGAATCAGCATCTGAAAGGGACTGTAAACGTAATTTCAAGTGAACTACCATTTGAAAAGGTGCATCACTCCTGTAAGCCGAGTCCATTAACGCCTGATCCAATCAGGGTTCAGTCATGTGTTTGTGGTCTATTCTGAACCAAAAGTATGGCGGTAACAACCATCTTTTTATCTTTCACAATATCCAGAGTTATGAATCCTTCAATCGGCGCTATCAGAAGATGGAACTATTTACTTCTACTGAACCTATAGTGGTATGAATGATTCACAACGCGAACTTTTAACCTTATTCTGAGCGAAAATGATTGAGTTTCCATTTTCTCTGTCTGAAATTTTTATTGATCTAAAAATACGATTTGTAGTGGAGACAAGAAGGAAATTGACAAAATTCACATATTTTTAAAACAGAAAAACTTTGAAATTTTTCTAATTTGTAAATGCAGTAAAGATATAATAGGGCTAAGGGTACCGTTGTAAATCGGACGTTTATCGAATTGAGGATCTCTTAAAAATAAGGGAACAGTCCTTTTAACTACCTAGCGCCGAAATGGCGCCGAATGGTAAATTGTCTTTAAACCAAGAGATCCATTTACTGGTGTCTGATTGCGGCTGGAAAAAGACGGATAATTCATGTTTTTTATCAAGCTTACATCCATCATATGGTCAACTTGCAAAAAAAGG